TGTCACATGACACCAAAATGGCCTCCTACACGTTGATTTGGCAATACAAGTTTTTCAAATATTAATACTACTAGTTTTTTTTTTAATAGTAGTTAGTTATCACATTTATGTCTTTAGTCTCACAAAAATATATAAGAGAATTCAGAAATTGAAAACAGAAAGTCGGTTTTTGCATGATATGTAGGCTATTTTATCTCATTTGTGAATGATCAAATAGATAGACCAAAAAGGAGCGTGACCTCAAAGACCCAAACAAGAATCTGCACACATGTGCAACTTTGGAGGCGTTCTTTTAACTGGCAGACCCCCTGCTCGCGTGTTTGCCACATCATGTACACGGACACAAGTGTCAGAGATGTGGGAACGGAACCGAACCACAATAAAGCCGCTGCTGCGTTATTGTGCGCTCAGTGGAACGAATCAGTGGAAAGCCCCTTTGAATTCTGGATATAAGCGACTCTTTGACATGTCAAATAAAGATTTATTCAAATCCCACGATTCATTAAGATTAAGTGGTGAACGCTCTCTCAACTTCACTTTCTCCGTCCGCTCCATCGTTGCAGAGCATGATGGTCCCTCCCCTACACAAAACTCTTGTTGGGACTTTTTTCCTCCCTTTCCCTTAAACGTCAAGTGTAATTCATACCAAGGGCTTCGACTCTGTGCTCTCCCTGTCTTGAAGGTGGAGCAGATATCAGAAGAAACGGACTATGAGAAACCCCTCTGAGATGAAGTAACTTTTAGACCGTTCTTACTTAAATAACAAGCATCTGTTTGCGGATTGAACATCTCCATCAATCGAATGATAGCAGGTATGGCGCATATTTCACCTTTAGAGAGAGTTATCACTGCTGCTATTTATTGTATTATTATTTTCTTGTAAAAGTTTTCATCTTTGTATAAAAAAAAAGTTTAAACACTTTTTTTCATCATTCTAGCCTTTGGAAAAAAAATTAAGTGTCATGATCTTATACTTGCATCTCAAGTCTAGTTATTGATTGCAAAGCTTCTATGAAAGATGGGGCTATAATTAAGTTTTTTTTTTTCATGAAAGTTTAGGGAGTTCGTCAAGTTGAAAATGCACTGAATACTTTAAATATATATCAGTAATGATGATTAATGACAGTTAGGATATGTTAAAGACCTCTCATCTAACAACATTTATTTTAAAATAAGGCCTTGCAAAAAAAAAATTACACTTTTTCCATCAAACTTTTTTTGATGGAAAGTCTGGTTGTCATAGTAATTTTTATGCAAAGGAGACGATTACCATGCAGATTACTTATATATCTGTCAATGCAAATATTCATGTATCCATAAATGATTGGTTGACGGTGAGGGAAAGACATGCACTGAAAGATCCGGCAACTTTGAATGAATTAGTTTTAAATTTAATTGTAAATGAGACCATTAGCGCCACCGTTTGGTTGATGAAGCTGGTTGAAAAGTTTGCAAATGTGCAAGACTGACATTTCTGTGCCTTGTAATGGAAAAATGGGGTGATGCTGACATGGAGGGATATTTTCTACATCTAGCACTACAGCCAGTTTTCCCCCGCTAATCTAAGCATCTCAAGATCTTTTTGAGCAAGGCAGATGTATCTATGACAGAAAAGCCATCGGAAATGTCATAGCGATATTTCAGCAGTGATGGAGGAACGTCAGATTGCAGATGCTCATTTTAGCAAGAGAACTGCTGATAGAGAGATCAGACCTCATGTCAGACTGAGTTTGCCTGAGTCTCTCTGTTTTGCAGACTTTTTAAAGCTCAAGCTGTCTGCACATTTTACATCATAGACTTACTGGAATTTGTTTGGACTTTTGTAAGTGCTTCGCTTCTCACGGCCCTCTCCAGTAGGGATACATCTGATTTGTCATTGCCTGGATCCATAACTTCCCCGCACACATTCATGCACGTATTTCCCCCTCACACTTCCACTGAGGCCACACAGCATTGTCTGTACAGATTGATTCTCACAGACGGAGCGGCTGATGTAGATAATCCACATCGACGGCATGCCATAGTGAAGTGTGAGGTGAGAGGAGAGGGATTTCAGCTCCTCGGGGAAAGTAGTGAAGCAAGAATGCAGCAGCAATCTATATTCCAACCCACCCTCTCCACCCCTTAACTGACTACTGATTAGAAAATGTTGCTGCAGTCAATGTTTTTCTTGGGTGTTCAGCAATCTAACATATGATGAATGAGAAAGAGTGGTGGCTGTGAAACACTTGGAGTTGTGGTTTGCCTTTTTTTTTCTTTTTCTTTGTGTGACTGGATAATCATTTCTGTCGTGTTGCATTTATAACAAAGATAGCCTATAGAAATACTTGGGCTGTTTTAGCTTATGGATGCTTTTTTTGACATGGGATTAAAAAATAAAAAAAGATCATTGTGACTTTTTGTCTTACAATTCATACTTTTTTCTTGCAATTCTGACATTGATTCTGTTAATCTGCAATTCTGAAAAGAAAGCTGGATCAGTGGGATATAAATTGAGGGGTAAAGGTCAGAATTGTGGGGGGAAAAAGTAGCAATTACTTTCTATGCTGCGGCGGAACAAAAAAAACAGAATTGCGAGATATAAGCGCAGAATTACGAAATGTAAATTCAGGAATTGCAAGGAAAAATTCTGAATTGTGAGATAAAAAGTTGTAATTACCTTTTTTAAAAATATTTTTTTCCACATGGTGCAAATAGTTTTGGGTTTAGTAATGCTGGTCTGATTCTGAAACATAGTAATTGTAACAGTGCTATTATATTGCTCTTCCTTTTTCAAGATTTAATTGCTTGCATGCTTGCTTGCATGCCATCTTGTCTCTTAGTTAATGATTATGGAGTAACTCCAAGGGACCTTTTTTATCTTTTAATATAATATTGTTGCAGTTTTCACCTTGTTGCAAGGCCATGTTTTGTAATGCAATTCAATATTCCAACTTTACTGGTTATTAGCCGTGTATTACGTTGTATAATGTAAAGTCAACTGGTCATTAATGCAAAATAAACCTGTCATTCAGGACCCTGAAAGATCTCTTAAATCTGCAAACAGGTTTTCTCACTGACATGGAAAACCTGAAAATAATAAGGATACTTGGATAAAATTGTGATTTCCAGGTCTGGAAACATCATGGAAGTGTAAAAAATATTTATAAATTCATTGAAAATGTATTATTCATATTTATGCTCAGGTCAGTGCAGTCTCTATTATATGCATTTGAAAATCCTTGTCCTGCAATCACAAATGCTTGCAATAGTCATGGAAATGCATTGGGAACCTTGGTATCCATTTAAAAACCACAACTTTGTTCCTATTATTTATGTGCATTATTTATGTGGTGTGTGATTCCATGTGTGACCTGCGTGGAAGAGTCGAGCATCTTTTCATCACACTGCAAACTGATGGTCTGGTGGAAAAATAAAAGGCACCCCTATCTAAAACTTTTTCCAGTTAGAGCTTTACCTGACACATAAATGAATGCAGAAGTAGGCTGCTGATCGCTTTGTGCATGTACTGTATGTGTGTGTGGGTGCATGTGTGTTTAGATTATCATATCATTTTCTACTCTGATTTACTGGTAACAGTACCATTGCATTACCATCCGCAGAACCCCAGTATATACTTAATACTAACATTTAGCAAGACAGTAGGAAACGTTTCCAAACCACTGACTCAAAATACTCAAGTCAGTGCCTACAGGGTCAATATTCATACAGTCCCCGCCACAAACCTCCAGTCTCCACAGGCAGCATCATTTTCCCCAAATGGGAGATATTTTGTCTCAGCTGGTCGTTTAGGGACTAGTTTTTAAATGCGAGCATTTTTGTATGCTATTTGACTCATTTGTTTAGTCTCTAAAGCTAATGCAGAAAATCTGGCTTTCAGTAATTATTTGAACTATTTCTTTAGTAATAACATTTTATTGTGTGCATCTTAAAAGCAGATTCAAAGTTTTGTTTTGGAATCTGTGGGAACACTGTTGTTGACTTAACAGGTACATTAGGGTTGGATCTAAATATCTGTGGAATGTGATGATGGGGAATGAGGTGAACTGTATAGTATATACACTCACATATTCTCAGGGGTCTTGAACTAGTGCTACAAAGTCTTATTATTTGTCTCCCCCTAGTGGTCATAACTGTATTGATGTAATCCTCTGTTCCTGATTTTAATACTTCCAGCCCGCTCCTCCTGACTCTGAGGCAGCCTTAATATTATTTTTACATACTAAAGAGCTGATGAAAAAAATCAGGTTTGCTAAATGATCAAGACATCCAAAATGCACAGTGCTGGAACCAGGAATGAGATCCACTAATTTGTATGAATGCCTGTAAGAAATATGACTGATTACTGCCTGTAAGCAGTGATTTGACTCATCTGGTGGAAAAATAAAAGGCACCCCTATCTAAAACTTTTTCCAGTTAGAGCTTTACCTGACACATAAATGAATGCAGAAGTAGGCTGCTGATCGCTTTGTGCATGTACTGTATGTGTGTGTGGGTGCATGTGTGTTTAGATTATCATATCATTTTCTACTCTGATTTACTGGTAACAGTACCATTGCATTACCATCCGCAGAACCCCAGTATATACTTAATACTAACATTTAGCAAGACAGTAGGAAACGTTTCCAAACCACTGACTCAAAATACTCAAGTCAGTGCCTACAGGGTCAATATTCATACAGTCCCCGCCACAAACCTCCAGTCTCCACAGGCAGCATCATTTTCCCCAAATGAGAGATATTTTGTCTCAGCTGGTCGTTTAGGGACTAGTTTTTAAATGCGAGCATTTTTGTATGCTATTTGACTCATTTGTTTAGTCTCTAAAGCTAATGCAGAAAATCTGGCTTTCAGTAATTATTTGAACTATTTCTTTAGTAATAACATTTTATTGTGTGCGTCTTAAAAGCAGATTCAAAGTTTTGTTTTGGAATCTGTGGGAACACTGTTGTTGACTTAACAGGTACATTAGGGTTGGATCTAAATATCTGTGGAATGTGATGATGGGGAATGAGGTGAACTGTATAGTATATACACTCACATATTCTCAGGGGTCTTGAACTAGTGCTACAAAGTCTTATTATTTGTCTCTCCCTAGTGGTCATAACTGTATTGATGTAATCCTCTGTTCCTGATTTTAATACTTCCAGCCCGCTCCTCCTGACTCTGAGGCAGCCTTAATATTATTTTTACATACTAAAGAAAAATCAGGTTTGCTAAATGATCAAGACATCCAAAATGCACAGTGCTGGAACCAGGAATGAGATCCACTAATTTGTATGAATGCCTGTAAGAAATATGACTGATTACTGCCTGTAAGCAGTGATTTGACTCGAAGCAGGAGCGTAAGGGAAAAGGCAAAGGCAGGAGAAACCGTAGTCGCCGCAGCACCACCTCCGAACAGCCCTCGTTCCGATGGACCCGGGTGAAACAGATGCAGGTGCCAAAGGGCTGGTTTAAAGGGATCTCGGAGAACATTGTGGCCGATTATGACTACGCCATCCTGGAGCTTAAACGGGCACAGAAGACTAAGTACATGGATTTAGGTGTTATCCCCTCCATCAAGAAGCTGCCCGCAGGACGTATCCATTTCTCTGGATTCGACGACGACCGGCCAGGCAACCTGGTGTACCGCTTCTGCTCCGTGTCCGATGAGTCCAATGACCTGCTGTACCAGTACTGCGATGCAAAGCCTGGCTCCAGTGGCTCGGGTGTCTACATTCGGCTCAAAGAGCCTGGCAAGAAGAAATGGAAGCGGAAGATCATTGGAGTGTTCTCGGGTCACCAGTGGGTGGATGTTAATGGGATGCAGCAGGATTACAACGTGGCCGTGCGAATCACGCCCCCCAAGTATGCACAAATCTGCCTCTGGGTCCATGGGGACTCCAGCCAGTGTCGGGGCACCTGAGAGACTCCGTCAGCATCAGAGTCAGAAACCCTTGTGCCTCCCATTTGTGCACTACACAAACTGCTGCATTCATCAACACTAAAGACTATAACACACCTACCATTGAACTTTTCCAAGCTATTTTGATACCTTAATTTATTTTATTAGACAGCTTTTGTTATGAATCAGTTAGAGCGAATGTATTTCTAGATTCAGTTGTCCTAACGAGAACTAATTCTGTCCTAAACTGTCATTTTGAATTAGAAAATGTACTTCAGTCAGTGTTGTTTGATATGGGAGGCATTTGTTTTGTCTGGTAATCTGTCTGGATACCTTGAAGTAGAAAGCTAGATGACTAGTTGACACAAGAAAAAAAAAAAAACTTTTTTTTTCTGAGAGAAAAACTTTGAAGTTTATTTGTGGATTTTACTTCCCTTTTTCTTCTTGAAGAACACATTTGAGTATCAATGTGCTGGTGTTCTTTGAAATACTTTGTTCTTGTTATCATTATTAAATGTTATGATTGTGTGCCTTTGATAGCATAAACTGTAACCTGTCTTCATGGGCTTCCATTTACAATTGTTCTGCTTTTTGTATCACAGTGCAGACAATTAGTTGGAGGTGTACCCTTCAGATTCAGATGCCCTTGTTGACTTTTGGTGCTAATTTAATTTTAAAATACAAAACATCAGAGGACCTGTCGGAGAAACAGTCTACTGTAGAACTGTAAGTATGTATTTAATGTAAGACTCGTATTATGAGTTTCATATGATCATGTCATTCTTTAAAAAAATACACAGGGTTATTTAAATTTAGATATGGTTAATGATACATAGTGTAATTATGATAAAGAGAAAAGCAATATAGCTTGATAGGAAATAAACACGAAAAATGTTTATATAAAATTGATGTTTTGAAAAAACGGTTTGCATACTTTTTAAATTTGTACAACTTTTTCTAAATGTTTGTTATTAAGGACCAAATAAACATTTATATGTATTGGTCTAAGAGGACAAAATAGTGTGTTCATTTTTTTTATTTAAGCTTTGAATTTTTTATTTCCTCTCTTTGATTCTTTATTTCTCTATTATATATATATATATATTATATAATTATTATTATATTGAAAATATATATAAGAATGCATGTTTTTTTAAACCAGAAACATGTACCTTAAACTTTGCAGCTTAAAAAATACCGAATAATGAGTCGCTTTTTTTTTTTAATCATGTGTTGATATAGAGCTATCCTTGTGAAAACAGACACAGGGGGACGCAGGTGGGCAATTCTTCCCATCAGTGTTTATTGCATCTCATAGGGCTTACATGCACTATGTAGGGGTGTCAAATATGAATCAATAAATCAATTTTTTTTTCTTTCAAGAGAATTGTAAAAGAGAGATCCAAAGATCTGTCTTTGTCATTTCCACGAGAGATCTAACAGGGAGAGCGAGTTACAGAGGCTTGGCTATACAGGGCTGTCAGTCAGACCTTTCTGTAACACTGTTTAACAGTGACCTCCTGAAAAATTGTACAGATCTAAGAGTCCATCTCTGCTAATGAACCTACGCTCTGTTTTCTATGAACTCTATGTAGGTATTTTCATCTAATATATCTCCTCCAAGCTCTTGCTTTGCTGTGCAAACTACAGTACCACCACTCACCAGAGGGAGCATGAATCAACCGTTACATGTAACAAACAAGGGCCAGGGTTTATAATGTAGTATGAGTGGGAAAGACTGAGAACCAAACATGTGGATGGGTTCTTCTACAATTATACAAAATAACACTACACGTACCAGCTTCAATTAGGATTTCATACAAGCACAAGTAACTGAGACTTAAACACAACATTCCACAGACTACAACTGTGAAATCTTGGGGGCTTTTTTTTGGGGGGTCACTGTACATTTGTTACTTCAAGATTCTGCAAAGATTCTGGCCTTTCTTAGAGATTATCTGTAATTTGTAGCACTGAGATTTGGTGAATTAAAAATCCAAATTTTCTGAGGTTATGGTCTTGGGGAAAGTATGTAAACCGTGAACTGACAATGAAATTAAAACAAAGTTTAAACTAAAGAATCAAAAAATATATGTATATATCAGAAAAATAAATACCAGTTAATATACAAAAATGGGGGTTATCTAGGATAGAGGAGCCTGGATGTTATTAATTTATACATAATTCATATATATTTAGAATTTATATATTTATTATTTGTAAACAAACACATATCAATCAATGATGGGAGATGACAACAGCATGTCTTATAATCCGAGTACCAGGTTCACATCAATAAGTTGTACACAGATAAAAATTTGAGCAGAGGAGAGACCTTTTTTGGTCAATGAGGATAATATACACAGAGTACCTTCTGCAAATCATGATACATTGCACACTGCTCCAAAACTAACATACAACAGAAAGTGCTTCAACAACATGTTTAGGACCTCTGACCCCAAAAGGGAAGTCCTAGAGGAATGAGAAGTTGAGGGGATCCACATACACACATCATTCATTTCAGACTTAAACACTGGAAAAGACATACGTATCTTTTTTAAATTGTTAATTTTCATTTGTGTGTGTGTTTTAAATAATTTTATTCTGTTTTGTTCAAAACAAAGGATAACATCGAAATAAGCACATCTTCATTTTTCGGTTTGTTTTCTCTATGATTCAGTTCACAGTTTGTGCTACAACATGACACAGGAAGGCTGGGTGGGGCAGACTGGGCAGGGTTTGGGCTGGGGGCGGGGTCAGTGGATATCTAGCTGCAGGCTTCTCAGGTGTCTGGGGGTGTAAATAGACAGCAGACTTCTCTCACTGGAGCTCAGTCTTTGAGAAAACAAATACTGCAAACAGAGCACAGAGAAAATGTCACAGTACTTTGTGATTTAGTGCCTCATCTGAGTAGCCACTAGAAATATAACTATACCTAGAAAATTATAAGAAGTCCTTGATGTTCAGATCTGCAAGGGGGTCCTTGGTGGGAGGTTTTTTGGGGCTCTGAGCAGCTGGCCCTGGAGACAACTGAGAAAGTAAAGGGTGCATGAGGAAATGATGATGCAAACTGATTAAAATAATATATACTCTATTGTTGGGGTCAGTATGATTTTTTAAATAAAGAAATCATTTGTATTTCTACTTTGTAATATACTTTGTATTTGTAATGTATATATATACATATATATTAGGGCTGTCAGTTTAGTGCGCTAACTTAAATAATTAGTTATAAAAAATAACACGATTAAAATATTTTAACGCGGTTAACGCACTGGCCCCGCCCCCAGACCTGTACATCATCATCTTACATTTCATAGTTGACTGTTGACAAATATGATGCAGGGCAGCAACTCCATAAATGCAGTTATGCCCTAAAATTCAAGATATTGGTGGAAAAATGCCCCAGTATGTGTTCTTGTCTTATTTATATCATACGATATCACACGAGCAGGGAGAGCAGTAGGCTATTACACGAGTGCTGATTTTGTCCCGAATAGTACGAGTTTAAATGTGATTTTATACAACAGTTCAATAAATAAGAAGTTCATACTGTGTTTATATTTTAAACACAATATTATGTTTTTGCTAAATTTTGCAAAGAATATATTACCTTTAAAGCCACAGCAGAATTGTTGTGCATCTCCGAGCAACACAGCAGTGTTTAGTTTCTGAATGAATCCGCGTTTTGAACGAATCATGTGAATCAATGTTTCAGTAGCCCATTCATAGAGAGCCGTTTACTTCATTCCTGAATGAATCAGCCGTTTGAACGAATCGACTTAAGACATTTACCGCCACCTGCTGGCAGATTTAGTTTCTTATTAGAGTATAATTTAATTAATTAATAAATAATAATAATAATAATAATAAAAACATTAAAGGGATAGTTTACCCCAAAAATTTTTTATTCTGTCATCATTTACTCTCACATCCCTCATGCAGGGATGGATTAACACACGGGCCTACCGGGCACGTGCCCAGGGCACTAGACCAGAGGGGGGCCCAGTCGAAATACTGCTCCTCCATGGACAAAAAATGGCTGAATAATATTTTTTTTGTATTTGATACGTTTAGAACGTTCAGTGCGGCACAGAATCAGCTGCCCAATTCAAATCTGCGTTCGTGCTTTGGCTGGCGTTGAGCTAGACGTGTTTTTACAGTGCTGTGCATTATAACCAATCACACAGGATTCTGTTGAGCTTATGAATGCAATGGCCAATCAGAGGCATTCAGATGAGTCATCGCTGAAAATCCCGTGTTTTGTTCAGTGCGCGCGCTCGCTGACGGAATGCTGCTCTCGCGAATTCTCTCATCATAAACAAAGTGCAGATGTATGTACGATGTAAGTAAGATATTCATTTCACAGTATAAATGGCTTCAGTGATTATAATGGGAGTTGTTGAGAGTGCTTGAACTTTGTCTAGACTGAAGTTAATATTTTTTGATAATGTAAATATTCTTTGCTCTCTTTATGTACAATGAAAGTGTTATAATTAGTAACTTACAATGTTTTTATTAAATTTACGTTAAATACAAAGTCAGTCGTATTAAAAATATTCTGTGACATGACACCCATATCTACAAGTTAAAAGACGGGTTTTATGTATAGGCTAGTTAATGGATTACAATAAAATTAGGCTACTTTTCCCATAGCTCATTATAGATAAACTAATATGATCTATAAAGGTGCAAAATGCATTTACTTATATTTGAGAATCGTGATATTTTATGGTATAGTTAACAAGTTTGGGAAAATTTCAAATAAAAAAGGAACAAAATTTCATTATTTCTGTGTCATAATCCATCCCTGCCCTCATGTCGTTTCAAACCTTTCTTTTGTGGAACATAAAAGAAGGTATTTTCAAGACTGTTGGTAACAAAGCTGTTTTGGTTACCAATGACTTTCATTGTAAAAATTTAGTACATTCAATTCATCTTTTTTTTCCAGTGTATGAACAAACAATACTGAGATGTTTCACAAATTATCTTCTTTTATGTGTAATACATTTTTTTGTTGTTGAATCAAATAAAATATTTTTAAAGCTACAATTTGTAATGTCTACTTGATATTTTCTCATTTAACACAAAAATATCTTTAAATAATCTTTTGTGGGTATTTTCACTGTCAAAATTATTTTGCGATTAATTAATCGAAACATCCTGTAATTAATTAGATTAAAAATTTTAATCGACTGACAGCCCTAATATATATATATAAAAGTTTTTTTTTTCTCCATATTTTATGTTAATTACTGGTGCTCCAGGTGTTCCTGTCGCTGCTGGCCCTGTAAATGGAGGTCTCATCATGGGCTGACCCATCATCACAGGCTGGGGCATCATGGGAGCTCCTGCTGCTGGAGCCTGAGTAAAAAATATGAAATAAAGTAAGTAAATACTGTAAATGCAAAATACAGAGACTCTTTTAACAATTTAAAAGTGATTTCTCACCATGCTAAAGCCAGGCTGTGCTCCCAAGGTTGCTGCCATTGGTCCAGGTGGGGCGGCAGGGGCGGAGCTAGACTAAACACAATTGGAACAGGACCACAATTAAATATATACTAAAAATATTTGGTGTAGAAACAATTTTCACTCAGAAATTGCTAGTAAATTTCACAAATACTAAGAAAACGGCAAGTACAATGAAAAAATTTTTAGAAACTTAGAAAGTTACGGAAGAGGATTCCACGGTGCATTAAACTAGTTTAAAGGCAGATGAAACAGCACTGCAATTCTCAACAACACTGATGCGGAAAACAGGATGAACACTGTGCGACAACAATCGGAATACTTTTCAATCCACAAATTAATACTTACAATGGATTTACTGTAGTAACACTAAACCTACCCAATTCATATATTACTATTAAACACTCGTTAGGCAGTTGATTTCCACTTTGCCGATGAGATATTTGATGAGGAAAGGAAGAAAAGTGAGTTCGGCAAAATATGGACTTAAACCCTTGTCGACCGCATCCATGAGCATTACTCTACGACCTACGCCACTGCAGGCGCTGTTTGAGACACTCCAATGAGATGAAATGAACCTGACGAGTGTTTATTCTTCGCATTTTAATTGGACTTTTTTTCTCGAAATTGAACAACTTTGTTCTCGTAATTTAATGAGTTTATTCTCAACATTTTATTTCAGCTTTTTTTCTCAAAATTTAATGAGTTTAATCTCGAGATGGTTTTGTTTTTTTATTATTGCTTGGCTCTAATCTTCTTCCATAGAAAAGTACATATTTAATTAAATATAAAATTTTGAAGTAGGTTGGCGCCAATAGCCTCATGGGCAGTGTGCCGACATATAACACCATTGAACTTCAGGTGTCCTGAGTTCGGGTCCCGGCTCGCGGACCTTTCCCGATCCAGTCCCCCCTCTCTCTCCCACTTCACTTCTTGTCAATACTTAACTATCCTATCATAATAAAAAAGCAAAAAACCCAAAAATAAATCTTTAAAAAAATAATAATTTTGAAGTTGAAAAACGATTTTTTTAATTGTGTAAGAAAAAAGCAAGTGCTACCATCTGAGCGCCAGGTGTGCCCCAGCTAGTAGGGGCGAACTGAGGGGTCCAGTTAGCTCCTCCTGTTAGCTTCTTCTCATTCCACTGGTTGTCCCTGTACAAAACAAATAGCTGTCAGCCAACATAATGTGTAAATCATTCTTCTCGGTTCATAAATACAGCTCAAGGGCCACACAAAGTGAACATGATTAAATTGTGCTCCAAGGGAGAGCGAATCAATCAAGCTGCCATAACAGTGCAAATGAATTGTCAATAAGGGTCAGGTTGTATAATTCATGTCTGTGAATAGATGTTATCAGTGACAAGATTAATAGGTATCTGGAAACAACAGGGACATGGAGATGCACTGCAACAGACACTGAACTTACTTCTTTTGGTTTCCCACCCCCAAGTCTACAAGAGAGGAAGAAACAAGATAAGTCAGCGTCGGCAATGAAGGTGTGTAAAATGATTCAGTCTATCATTATTCCAGGCATACTTCCGACTAAATTGGCAAGTGAAGAGTCCAAGTCTCCTCCAATAGGTTTGATTGGTTGGGCAGCTGCTGCGGGTGCCATTGTTGGGGCCATTGCTGGTGCCATGGCCGGAGCCATTGTCGGTCTAACGGTGGGCACAATTTCAGGTGCCAACGGCGTGCTCACTGCAGCCATGGGGGTCCCGCCTGTGCTCTGAGGCGTTATGGCTGGCATTAGAAGGTCTCCTAATCCATCAAACACTGGGGTTGGCACAAAGAAGAGTGGGTTAATATAGCCAGGATGGATTGAGACCATTTTAGCCTAGACTTGATTTGGATTTACTGTACAAACTGCCAGCAATCCCATAATACACTAAGTCAGATGTAAAAGGAGTAAAACATAAGACAGAAACAATACAATAAAACATATATACACTACCTTTCAAATGCTTGGGTTCGGTAAGATTTTTTGAAAGAAGTCTTACGCTCACCAAGGTTGCATTTATTTATCAAAAATACAGTAAAACCAGTAATATTGTGAAATATTTTTGCAATTGAAAATAACGGTTTTCTATTTTGATCAAGGCAGAAGTTTAAGCATCATTACTCCAGTCTTCAGTGTCACATGACCCTTCACAAATCATTCTAATATGTTGATTTGATGCTCAAGAAACATTTATTATTATCAATGTTGAAAACAGTTGTGCTGTATAATATTTTCGTGGAAAACGATATACAACTTTTTCAGGATTATTTGATGAACAAAGTTCACAAGAACAGTTTTTATATGAAATTTGTCTTGCAATAAAGTCCTTACTATCGTTTTTCATTAATTGAATGCATCATTTCTAAATAAATGTATTACTTACGTGTTTACTTAATTATGTACTGACCCTAAACTATTGAAAGGTACTGTAATAATATTTTAAAAATTCAGACCCACACATTTATCAAAACATTCATGAGGTATTCAAAACTTTTACTACATGCATTGGAAAGTCGCAAACTGGGAACACACATCAACACATTTTTATACACAGGATTTTCATTGCATTACAACATGGTTGGACACATTCTGTCAGGCACCAAAAAATATCCTCACTGAAGAACATATCGGTTACGTACATAACCCTCGTTCCCTGATGGAACGGAGACGTTATGTCCTGACTCGACATTAGGGGTCTTACTTGGGAGCCCGAATCCTCTCTGATTAAGAGAAAATGCCAATGAAATTTGGCTAGTGGATTTTGCATGCTGAGCCACTCCCCGTGCACACGGGTATAAATAGGCGACAGGTGCATCCAGTCATCAGGTTTTATGCTGAGGAGCCGAGAACTTGTCCCTGGCAACCAGTGATGGTTCGAGGTTGTGGCATGGGGACGTAATGTCTCCATTCCCTCCATCAGGGAACAAGGGTTACGTACGTAACCGAGATGTTCCTTATCTGTCAGCCACTTCGAGTTATGTTGTGACTTGACATTAGGGGTCCATGGAAAGCGCTACAACCTAAACCCCGTTACAACCCTATGGCATTGCAAATGTTAACAAGCAGCCGTGTGTCAGATAAATGCTACGCAAAGGTCATAACCTTCCCACCGCAAATTCGCTGACCTTGGTACCCACAGTGACCATAGGTGAATATATCGCTGCTGGTGATAGCCAAGCCGCTGTTCCTTTCACCACAGAAATATCTTAACAGAAGGGATTCCGACCTTCAATGAAAAATTGCTTCAAGGCTTTCCTATTTGTTGCTTGGCAGTAATGATGGGGAAGCGAGCCTTCCAGAGAAGGGTGCTACGGAGGCCACATCCTACCCGTAGGGAGGTAACATGTGGAGACACTGATATGGACTGACCCAGGCCTGGGGCAGTACTACATATGGAATGGGACTCTGAGGCAGGTCCTACCTGACAGTAGGGATGGAACGACTGCCAGCACAGCCTGACAGAATGGTCTGTAAATGGAAGACACGGGTTCACCGAGAGGGAAACCTTACCGTGGAAGAATACACATATGGGATCGCCCGAAGGTAATCAAGCCATATGGACATCTAGCCCAGTACAGGGGCTGACCGGAGACCCGGGCAAGCTAACACCAATATTGGGCCTGGCATCAGACTGCCCCGCCCAGTCTGACTGCTGGGGGTACTGGAGGATACTCCACCAGGGTTCGCCGTCTGGGGAACTGTACTGGAGGAGGAAAAGGTGCTCACATCCCCGGGTGAGGGGGAATGGCGCAGCAAGAGTGGCACCGGCCAGCTCTACCCGCCACTTATCTGTTACCCAACACAAGGGAAGAAACTGGCTCAACGTGGAGACTGTAAACTCTTGCGAAGGTGTTTGGTGTTGCCCAGCCCACAGCTCTACAGATGTCTGCCAGAGAGGTGGCACAGCTCGCCTCGGGATTGGTTCACCAAGGCGATGACATCCACTATCCTGTGAGCCAACCTCTGCTTGGAGGTAGCCTTCCCTTTCTGCTGACCTCCGTTGCAGACACAGAGCTGCTCAGAGCTTCTGAAACTCCAGGCTTGGTCCACGTATACACGCAGCACTCTTACTGGACACAGCAACGCTAAGGCTAGATCTGCCTCCTCCGAGGGCAATGCTTGCAGATTCACCACCTGATCGTGAAAAGGCGTGGTGGGAACCTTGGGCACGTATCCAGGCTGGGGTCTCAGGACAACGTGAGAGTAGGCCAGCCTGAACACAAGGTACTCTTTGATCACTGAAAATGCTTGGAGTTCTCCGACCCTCTCGATGGAAGAGAGCGCGGTCAAGAGCGCTGTCTTAGTAGACAAGAATTAAGCTCAACTGAGTCCAGCGGCTCAAAACAGTGGCTCGGCTTTTATGTGATGAAAGTTGAGTCGAAGTCGACTAGTCGCTGATGACTTCATTAATGAACAAATAAGTCTGGAGTTGTGACAAACACCTTGTGCACAGCTATGGCATATGACACAGCGCTTCCCACATGGCTATTTCTCCTATAACAGCTAATTTTTATCAGTTCTTTTGTCTTTGGGTCATATTATTTCTCACAGATTTCCGCTCGTTCTAAATCAGATACAGATAAAGCGAGCATCCAGTAATATAATCACACATCTTGTGGAGTGCTTTCGGAGTATGCATTTATTTGTCATTTTAACTGTTTGGAAACCGAGCGTAAATGTGGAAGTCCTTCAAAAGATTTCTTATCCTGTTGTGCCCTCTACAGGACCAGTGACAAGTCAACGTCAAGATTAAAGCGTCATGGCAGAGCATTAAAGTCGACTAGTCGGTGCAACCCCTAGTGCGGACCAACACGTGCTTGCCAAGCAGCAGCGGCCGGAACTGCCGCAAGACTAGTAGCACTGTCAGCAACTCGAGGCAGTTGATGTGCCAAAGCAGTTGAGGCCCTGTCCAGAACCCAGAGGCTGCCTGCCCGTTGCATGTAGCGCACCAGCCCGCACTGGAGGCATCCGTTGTGACAACGACATGCCGAGTCACTTGTTCTAAAGGCATTCCGGCCCGTAGAAAGACAAGGTCCGTCCAGAGGCTGAATGAGCGGCAACATGTCGGCATGATGGTCACGCGAACTGTACCGTGGAGCCACGCCCATCTCGGGACTCGGGAGTGTAACCAGTGCTGAAGTGGACTCATATGCAGCAATCTAAGCGCCAAAGCTGCAGCTACGGATGCCATATGCCCCAGGAGCCTCTTAAAGTGTTTCAGTGGTACCAACGTCCTGCCTCTGAAGGAACTCAGTTCAGCAGGGACTGGGCACACTTGACGCGCTGTCATACTCACCGAGTCTAACTCCATACTGAGAACAGAGATTCTCTGCCCGGGGGAGAGCTTACCCTTTTCCCAGTTGACCTGAAGCCCCAACTGGCAGAGGTGCCGGCACACCAGATCCCTGTGATCACACAACTGTTCTCGTGAGCGGGCCATGGTCGAGATAGTTGTGGATCCTAATGCCCACTTCCTGTAACTCGGCACCCTCCGCTACTTTCGCAAAAAGGGGGGGGGTCTAGGAAAGCCAGAAGGGGAGGACCCTGACAGCCATACCCGACCCTCAAACGCAAACTGTAGGAACAGCCTGTGTTGAGGAAAAATGGAGACATGAAGTCAACGTCCTTCAGGTTAACCACTGCAAACCAATCCTGGAGCTGGATGCATCTGATAATGCGCTTCTGCGTCAACATCTTAAATGGAAGCTTGTGAAGGGCCTAATTCAAGACACGCAGATCCAAGACTGGCTTCTCGGCTGGAGGGACAGGCTCGATTGCGTCCTTCTCCAATAGGACAGTAATCTCCTTGCCCAGGACAGGGGCATCTCGGACTGCCATCAAAGTCCCGAGGACGCCGCTGAACCTGGGGGGGTTCGCCTGGTGAACTGAATCGCTTAGCCGAGTCAGACTGTCCGAATGAGCCAGCGGGATGGGCTGGGCAGCGTGAGCCACGCTCCCAAACTCCGTGCGAGTGGCACCAAAGGGACAATCGACATACCCACAGCGGTGGGAAGTCGTGCTAGATGGCCCAGAAATCACCGCGTTCTGGCCCATCATGGCAGGACTCCCCGTTTCCCCGGAGGGTCCAGCCGGAGACGCGTGGGAAGGCATGGCGTCCCCAAACCGCAATCTCTTGGCCGCTGGCAATAGGGGGCGTCATGGGCGAGAGTGAGGAGGCAGTGCGTTGCTCACTGTCAACCTATGAGCCGGATGGTCCGGAGGAAAAGGGAATTTCTATTTCTTTGAGAATGTGGTTACCACTGGCCCTTGGGCCAACAGCGGAACAGAACAAAGCAAAGATTCTCCATCTGGTGTCCTCCTGGGGACTTAGGGGCCAGCTGGGACA